TTAATTCTGTGTTCTACGTCGTCCTGGCATCCATATTCCTACCAAATCTGACTGATGCTGTGATGATCCCCAGCTGCCTCAGGATCATGGTGCCAGCCCTTAGAACCATCGGGATCACTAGAAATGCAGCCCAGTTCGATGCAATAAAAATAAGCCTCCTGACAGTCTCCCGCATGCTGGACACTCTATGCTCTTGTCTTTCAAAAGGCAGGGTAGCTGTGATCAAATCTGTTGAAAACAGAGATGTGTCGGCAACTTCGTATTTACTGTAGGACTCCATCCTCCCCCAGGAAAAGCAGGTTGCGTATCCTGACAGTGAATTTTATCTTGTGTAAGGAATAAACCCCTCGACTTTCTTTCCCCTGGTTTCTTTTTCTACAGAGAGAAAGGCGTGGCTTTCTGGCCAGCCTGGCCTCTGGAGCTACCCCAGGGAGCAGAGGGGACGTGTGCTTTGGGTTATCAGGGCCAGGTTGGGCAGCTGTTTGCTTGGTTGGCCAACAGCTGGCAAGGCTAGGATGCCAAGACTTCCCAGCACGGTAAGAGGAAGAAACCTTCAGGATGGGGAGATAGTAGTGCTGGAATTGGTTTATCATGTAGAGCTCTGTTCTTACCACATCCCTCCGGGGGCCAGAGGACACCCCTTCACTAAGATGTCGAGAAATTCGTCAGTGAGGGAGGCACCAGCTTCCTTGAGGAGCTCTGTAGTTGCTATCCTCTGGGACCAGGATTGATGGGAGATGCTGCCACTGAGATGTGCAGAGACGAGGCAGGACCCTAAGGAGGAGGCAGAGTCTGAGGAGGGAGGTAGGATCCCAGTGTTACGGAAACCCAGCAGCGTCATGCAACCAGCAAAAGACCCATTGGGCAGATGACTTTTATGGATAATTGGGACAAAGTAGCAATCAGAGTATTTTGAACCACAGGATATTTTGAGTGCAGCTCACGGGTCACAATATCCTTAGCAAAAAATAGGTGGGCAATCTACACTTACTCTATAGGACAGCAACAATTCCAGGTCATTTTAAAAATTACTATTGTAATACTCCCTTTTTATGAAACGTGGACCGTAGGCAAAAGCACAGGGACAAAAAGTAGGTGAGTTTCTGCCTTGTGCTGGGGGGATGGGGTGGCGTGGGGGATTATGGCTAAGTGGGTGCTGGGTTCCTTTTTGTGATTATGAAAATGTACTAAGTTGACTGTGGTGACGATGCGTAACTCTGAATATACTAGAAGCCGCTGAATGGTAGACTTCACGTGGCTCAGCTGTATGCTATGAGGATTGTCTCTCAAACAAAGGAAATGGTCTAAACGGAGGACTCGGATTAGGAGGATCGATCATTTTACGGACAAGCAGGCTTCCCTTTGCAGATACGTGTACATTGTTGCATAGGGCTGAAGAAACCAGAAGGAAGGCCTGCAGAAGAGCCCTGGATGAGGGCCTGCGCCAGTACTCCACGCCTGGGACTCACGGCGCCCGGAACCCCGCCCCCTGGGGACAGGCTGGAGGC